CTTGCGCGAGCCATTGGATTCTTGAAGGGGGGCCGCGCCTAAACTAGATTGCAGCTTGGGCGTCAAACACATGTGTTCAGTCTCCCTCCCTCTCTCCTTTTTTTCTCGCTCTCTCTCTCTCTCTCTCTCTCTCTGGCGCCTCTGGCCTTCGAGGCGGAGGATGAGGAGGAGGAAGGGGGGGGAGGAGAGGGAGGGGGGGAGGAGGAGGAAGAGGAGGAGGAGGAGGAGGAGGAGGAGAAGGAGGAGGAGGAGGAGGAGGAGGAACTAGGAAGAGGATGAGGGAGAGGAGCCTGGATCTCGTCCTCCCTGTGCCTGTCGGAGAACTTCGCGGCGCTGTAGCTGAAATCTGGGATCCCGCCTCGAGGCGGCGGCGCCCCCCGTCCGCCCGCCCTACCTCGATCCTCTCCCCCTATGCTTCCCCCTCCTCCCCCCCGCCCTCAATATACGGCTCCTCATCGGATCAGTTTTCTCCTCTTCCTCTTCCTCTTCCTCTTCCTCTTCCTCTTCCTCTTCCTCCCCCCCTCCTATTCCTATTTCTCCCTGCTCCTGGCCTCCGCCGTCGATGCCGAGCTGGGGCCAGTCCTCGATGAAGCTATTCCAGAGGACCTGCGGAGGTCCGACACTATGCGCCCCTCATCCTCCTAATTATTTTTCGATCCTCCTCCTCTTCTTCCTCCTCCTCCTCATTTCTCATTCCGCCGCCCTCCTCGATCCTCCTCCTCATCCGCCTCCTCCTCCTCCTCCTCCCCCTCCTCCTCCTCCTCCCCCTCCTCCTCCTCCTCCGCCTCCTCCTCCTCCTCCGCGTCATCATCATCATCATCATCATCATCATCATCATCATCATCATCATCATCATCATCATCATCATCATCAGCATCAGCATCAGCATCAGCATCAGCATCAGCATCAGCATCAGCATCAGCGTCATCGTCATCATCATCATCAGCAGCAGCAGCACCATCAGCATCATCATCATCATCATCAGCATCATCATCACCATCATCATCAGCGGCATCAGCATCAGCATCAGCATCACACTCACCATCAGCATAACCATCACCATCATCACCATCATCATCATCATCAGCAGCATCATCCTCATCAGCATCATCATCATCATCACCACCACCATCCTCCACCGAGGAAGGATGAGGAGGAGGAGGGGGAGGACGAGGAGGCGATGTGCTCGATCAGCACTTGCCAGAGGAACGGGAGAAGGGGAGAAGGGAGGGGAGGGAGGAGAGGGGGGATCTGATTCCCCCCCCCCCCTCGGACGTCGGCGACGACGTCCGGGTCGACCACGCAGGTCTTCTGATGCGTGAACGCTTTCGGCGCCATCTGGCCTGGCATCTCTTTCCTCCCCCTGTTCCTCGGATCCTCGTCCTCCTCCACCTCCTCCACCTCCTGGGTGCTCCTCGCATCCTCTTTTTTCATCCCCCTCCCCCTCTCCCTGCCCCTGGGACGCTAGGACACCAAACCTTTACAGTTCCTTCCTCCTCCTCGATCCTCCCTCCCCTCCTCCTCCCGCTCCTCCTCGAGGAGGATCGCGGAGGAGGAGGAGGAGGAGGAGGAGGAGGACAAGAGAAGGATGAGCAGGATGCATCCTGCCCACCCTTCTCTTCTCGCTCTTTCTCTCCTCTTGCCGAGCTGCGCGCCTCTGGGCGCGCCCGCGCGCGCTCCCTCGCGCGCCGGTGGGCGCGCGCCTGGGCGCGCTCGGCGCGCGCCGAGCGCTCGAGCCCGCGGCTGGGCGCGCGCCGCCCACACCCCACCCCGAACGACGATAAAAATCGGGTCTTATACGCGAGATGGCATAGCGCGCGGACCGTCTGCGCGACGCGCCACATTGGAAACGAGGGCACTTACGCGCGACCTTTACGCTGTCAGACGCGCCAATGGCGGCGCAGACGTCCCCGTTTTTTTTCCGCCGCTCGTATGTATATATATATATATATATATATATTACATACATCGACATACGTATATATATATATGTATATATATGTGTGTATATATATAAAAAAACAAAAATCATTACAGCAAAACGTGAAACAACAAAATCATTACAAGGCGAAAAAATCATTACAAACCATCCGCATGAAAAAATCATTACCGCAGGAGGTCTGGGCCAGCGGTCCCTGGTTCGCCCCGCGGGGAAGCCTGGGACGGGGTGCCCAGCAGGTCAGCCGCGGCCGGCTGTCCGGGCCGCCCGAGCCACTCGAGCACGTCGTATTCGAGCACGAGTACGGTTGGGTCTCAAGTGCTCTGACCTCCCCGCCAGTGTTGTGAGCGGAAGTTCGGCCACAGTTGCAGACCAGCCCTTAGCTCGCGACTGGCTTTTGCGCTTCGTAGCTCAGGCTCAGCAGTGTTATCGATTGTTAACCCTTGTTGCCATCGGTCCGCTGATGATGGTGCGAAAAAACAAGGATTGGATAATGGCGAGGAGGAGGAGGACGTGGAGGAGTCCGACAGGAGGTCCGACGACAGGCAGGGGGAGGAGGGGCAGGAAGGATAGGCCGGGAAGCGGCTAAGCGGGGGCACCATGAAAGCCAGTTGCCTGCAGCTGACTCCTTGATCCCCTCCTGAGCCTCTTCGGCGGCGTCGAGGAGAGGGGGTGAGGACGGAAGGGAGGGGGGGGATCACGACTAAGGGCAGGGGGGATTATGGCCGGGGCCATCAAAATATCCTTGGTCTCACGGCCCCCTCCTCTGGTTGCGACGCGTTCCTTGGCCACCCCTCGTCCGCGCACATGCGTCGGCCCATGGGGCGCTGACACCCCGTGTTCCCGGTCCCCCTCTCCGGAGCAACTGGCTTTCGTCCCTTCCGACTAGTTGGAGTCCCGAAACGGTGCGGTGACGCACCGTGCGGTGACCTCGAAATCACCCAAGACCTCACCGCACGGTCCGTCACCGCACGGTCTTGGGACCTCGGAGGCCCCTGTCGCCCGAGACGTCCTCGGAGAACGACCCGAGTCCCAAAACCGTGCGGTGACCCCGAATCCCCAGTGGCTCACCGCACGGTGTGGTCACCGCACCGTTTGGGAGCACAAGAGACACGGTCGACACATTGGAATGCAGTCGCCGCTTGTACTGAGGACGAGGTGCCGTTCCGAGCATGCCCCCAGACGTCCAGCGTCTTGAGACAGCCAGGGGGGCCGGTCCTTCCACAAGTCGGCGTCCAGGGTCCCGCCTTTGGGCGCCAGGGCCATCAGGAAACGATGAGAAGGACAAACAGGTGGCCCTGGGCAAAGGGTCTGATGATGATGATGATGATGATGATGATGATGAGGATGAGGATGAGGATGAGGATGATGATGATGATGGTGATGGTGATGGTGATGGTGATGGTGATGGTGACGGTGACGGTGACGGTGACGGTGACGATGACGATGACGATGACAATAACGATGACGAGACGTCATCGTCATCGGCATCGTCATTGCAACGGGGCCCCAGAACAACGCACAACGAAAAAGTCAATGCCAGGGATGAACTTGGGCACATCCATGTTTGTTTGTTGTTTTTTCACCGCGGGGATGGCCTAGCACGCGCCCTTGCTCTTTTCGTGCACCCAGTGAGTGTTCCGTCCCAACCCTGCGTCCACCTGACGTGCGACGACTAGCTATATGTGATGTGGACCCTCTGGTGCTTGAAGGGGCTACAGGCCTGTTTGGGCCCTGCCTCAGGTTGTCTTGTCTGACCCTTCTCGTCAAGTTGGGCTCATGTGGGGCCAAACGGTGGCTATGTGCCCTGAGCCGCTTCTCCGATTGCGTGTTCGGATGCTCAGGGAGTCAAGCCTGCTGGTCTCTGGAGCCCGTGTCCCGCCGACGGCACGCCGTGGTGGAAGATCACCGGGGGGGCTCTGCACGAGAGGAGGCGGCTCTTGAAGGGCCGGCATCCGAAGTGCGGCGAGAGTGCCACGACGATCGCGAGTTCAGGGGAAGAAAAAGTACCATGAACCTAAAAACTCAGAGGTCCGCGCGGATTTCGCGGATCGGCGTTGGACCCCCCTTCCCTGGCGCGCGGAGCGCTCCCGGGGCGGCGCCCGAGGCGCCGCCGGGGGGGGCCCAGCGCCGATCCGAGAAATCCGCGCGGACCTCCGAGTTTTTACGTTTATGTGATTTCTTGTTTCCTTTAGAGTTGGCCACTACCCCCCAAAACATTCGAAGCTGAGGTGCGCATCGCTGCTGAGGCCCGCGCGGGGTCGGTTCGTCCCCGCGTTGGGTGGGGCGCGTGCCCTCCGAGGTCCCTCGGGGTCCCGCATGGCCCGTGCTCCTCTCGGAGCCCAATCCTGGGGACGCAGCCGTGCTCGGCACTGCGCGTGGCGCCGTGCTCGGGAGCTCCTGAGCCGCAGGCGCCGGCACGCAGGGGGAGGAACTGGCCTGATGTCTCCCCTTCCTCCCCCGCTTCTGTTTGTCTGAGCATCCTCCACCCCGTTGTCCTCCTCATCCTTCTCCTCCTTCTCCTGCCACTCAGGGCTCCTGACAGAGCACGCTGGGAAAACCGCGGGGGGGGGGCATAAGGGGGTGGGGAAGCAGAGTTCCCAGCGAGGCAGCGGTAATCACGGTGGTATCGGTGCGTTTGTATGTGTGTTTGTGTGTTTGTGTGTTTGGGCTCGGGAATTGATCTCATGGCTGAGGCCATGAAAGCCCAGATGCCATTGTCCCCTCCTCTTGTCTCGAGGATGTTCCCTGGCCCCCCTGTCCGCGCACCTGCCTGCCACCATGAGATGCGAATTACCCCCCCCATCCGACCGATCCGTTGCGATCTGATCCCGCGCCTGCGCCCGATCCGATCCGATCCGATCCCGCGCCCCATCCGATCCCATCCGATCCGATCCCGCGCGCGATCCGATCCGATCCGATCCGATCCGGCGCGCGACCCGATCCGATCCGATCCCACGCCCGATCCGATCCGATCCGATCCGATCCCGCGCCCGATCCGGTCCGATCCGATCCGATCCCGCGCCTGCCCGGCGACGGCGCGTGCAGCCGCGTCGCGGAGGTGTGCGAGGACACGCCCGGCTGGGCCAACGG